GCATAAAGGAAGTACCATTTTGAAAAGTAAAAAATCAATAGAACAGGATAGAAAATGGAATCTTCAATGAAGGGAGTTTTTTTGGTACTGATGAAGTTGGAAACGAAAGAGATACGATTATAGAAACCTTAAAATCTCTGATGGATTTCACTATGTTCAGATGACAAAAGAAAATTTCTGAAGTTCTGAATTTACAGTCCTAAAATAAAATTAACTTTTACAATAAATTTTACCCTGTGTAATTAAATTTTAAATTAATTCACTTGCCACCTAAATTCATGACCAATATTGTTGAAAACTTCCTTTTAGTACTTTGGGAGGTAATGTTGTCTAGTGGTTACAGCAGCAGGCTTGGAGTCAGGAGACCTGGCTTCTGTTCATGACATGCTGTGATCTCCAGCAAGCTGCTTAGCCTCTACGTGCATCAGTTCGCCCCCCCCCCCCTGCTTTTTTTTTTTTGTATTCTGTGGAGCCTCCATTTTCTTCAGGAGAAGATTAAAGCAAACCTTTTAACTCTTGTTCTCCTTCAGATGTCTATCAGTCTCCAATTTGTTCTGGAAATGAACACCAGTCTGATAACTTCTAGAGAAACATCTCCTATCCAGTAACCCTCTTTCTTCTAAGGCCCCATCCCAAAGGGAGATGTAAACTGAACTATTTTAAAACAGTAGCAAACGTGGTTTGCTTACCTAGTATTATAGGGTAGTTAGGGTAGAACATGGTTTCTAAACTTTGTATAAACATGGTAGAACCTGTTTACATGGGCCATACAAACCATGTTTAAAGTGAATTAGCCTGGTTCATGTTTAAACTGAATTTTACAAAAGTCCAACTAACATGACTAGGATCCTACCAAATTCACGGCCATGAAAAATGTCTCATAGACTATGAAATCTGGTCTCCCACCATGAAATCTGGTCTTTTGTGTGCTCTTACCCTATACTATACAGATTTCACAGGGGATACCAGCAAAATTTCTCAAATTGTGGGTTCTGACCCAAAAGGGAGTTGCAGGAGGATCGCAAGGTTATTTTACGGGGGCCACCCTTAATTCTGTGCTGCCTTCAGAGCTGGGTAGCTAGAGAGTGGTGGCTGCTGACTGAAGGCCCCACTCTGCAGACAGCAGCACAAAAGTAAGAGTGGCAATGCCGTGCCATGCCATCCTTACTTCTGTGCTGCTGCTGGCGGTGGCTCTGCCTTCAGAGCTGGGCTCCCGGCCAGCAGCTGCAGCTCTCCAGCTGCCCAGGTCTGAAGGCAACGCTGCCTCCAGCAACAGCGCAGAAGGGTAGCAACCTCCCCTACAATAACTTTGCGACCCACCCCCCAACTCCTTTTTGGGTCAGGACACCTACAATTACAACACCGTGAAATTTCAGATTTAAATAGCTGAAATCATGAAATTTACAATTTTTTAAATCCTATGACCATGAAATTGACTAAATGGACCGTGAATTTGGTAGGGCCCTAAACGTGACTAAAGGCCTAATGTAGCTAGTCCTAAGACCTACACCTATTCTAGAGACAATTCAGATAATTTTTAGACTCCTATTCATGAAGATAGTCTACTTATTCTGTTGTTACTAGCCTTGTGCAGCGTAGCTGTGCTGTGACTTGTGAAATAAACAGAAACATCATGCCAATTAAATTTTTTTAGGCTGTATGATCAGAATATCCTACAAATCCTTAGCTTTTTTTCAAAGTAGACCCATGTATACAGACTTTGTTTGATCTCTGGTTCATGTCAGCCTACTTTTGAAACATTCTGTAACTAGAGAATATTTCTTTATGATATGGTACAGGAAAAAGATTTCTCCTGGTGGTATTTCAGCAGAGATGAAGAAGTTCCTTCTCATCTTAATATAATAGAAAGAATATGAATATTTGGAGTTTACATTTTATAACTTATTTAAGAACTATAGTTTCTATGAACACCAAGAACATTCTCTTAACCAACATATTTCTAAATACAATATTTTCTAATTAAATATTGACTTTTACTATTATAATAGTTTTAATTTTTAAAGTAGATTAAAAGATCTTTAGGGTAGATACTATGCCTTCCTATGTACAGAACCTAGCACAATACAGACCAGTCCTGATTGGGACATTTGGGAATGAACACAATGCAAATAGTAAAGAAGAACAAGAATGGTGAAATAAATATTACATATCCTTGTGGATGAGGGGAAGGCTGCAGAATATTGTAATATACAACTCCCATGATTCTACACCAGATATCAGAAGAATCAACTGATTACTTTTATATAATATATTTTACTTAGATTGCTGAATTACTACAATCTAACATGATGTGAGCCCTTTAAAGGAGCTAGGAAACTGGGACTCAACACTTTCTGGTTACTGTGTGCATTTAAACTGTTTTTCATTCAGTTGGAGAAAGAGGAAGTTCTAACTGGGAAAGTGGACATGCTTCATCTGAATGGGCATCTGAACATGAGATCTGATTTGCCCCTAGAACCACTTATGTCATAAATCCCATTCAAAAGAGGGGGATGAATCAAATCATTGTATCCTCCAGACACGCTCCACTGGCAGGGCTCCTGTGGTGCCACAACTGTAAGCTAAAGCTATTCTGTAGCAAAGTCCAGAGGGAGGGTGGAAGTGTAAACACTGTCTGCCCTTTCACAGAGATGAAGCCCTTTAGTGGATCTCCAATAACATGTGGGTGCAATTTGCCCCTCTGCTCCCCTGGGGATTGACCTAGCTCATGATGTTATGGCAAACTCTGAATTTGTGAAGTGCTGAAGCCAGAGCCACTGTAACCTAGAGCTTTTCTGAATAAAGCAAAAGAAAATTGCAACATTTAATAAAAAAAAACCACTCCATAATACAGTGTTCCAAGCTAGCCAACTACTATAGTGTAGCCAGCAAGTTGACTTTTCAGAAATCCTTTTTCAGTTGCAACAAGCTGTTTACATTATAACACGGACAAGAATGAGATTGACTAATAAATGATACACGTTGAGTACTTCGTCAGCTTTGATGAGTTGCCCTTATCAGCATGCACAAAGTTAAGCAATTCTATTGTACAAATCATGAAAGCATTTGTGCAAAATATTTCCTTCTGCCTTAGCCAAAGCCAGTATCAGTGTAACTCTAATGTGTGGTTGTATTTCAGGCCTGAAACACCTCCTGAAACAAGTGTAACTGAAAAGTGACAATAGTCATTTGTTGCATCTTACATTTGCTGATGCAGCAATTTGTACAAATATTTGTTCAAATGTTAGATGGGACACCTGGGCACTGTACAGGTTCCTACCTGTAGACTTCTGCAAATGAATATAGAGAAATACACAAAGAGCACTGGAATAAACAGTATTGGAACCCATACATTTAAAAAACTGTTTGTCACCAGATGGGCAAGTTCCAAGCAAGCAGTGGACTCGTTCTGAACATGTTCTGGGAAAATTTCAGAGTAAAAGACGAAGGCAATAACAGAAGCTTAGGGACTTCTTACTAAACAGAAACATTTGAGTTCAAATTCCAGCTATGCTTTTAGCACAAAATGCTGAAGATAGCTTACACACACACTCAACTTATCCTCAAAGTAGCACACCTGTGTTTGTGACAGCAAAGAACCTGAAATATCAACATGTTGCAAAGAAAGAGAGAAACTTCTGTCATATTAAATTTTTGATAAAAATGGAAGAAGCAGCAAGGAACACAGCTAAAGAATGTGGTACGTTGACACACTACCAAAAGAAACAGAGTTGGAAAAGAAACACTTTTATAACAAGCTGACTGCTGACAACCCTACAGAAACTAGGTGACAGCATTTCAAAGTCAAGACATTCTACATACTTGTTGATGTGTTTACAACACAGATGAAAGAGCAGTTTCAAGATTTCACAGAGAAATGCCGGCTGACACCTTTGACGTTGATAAAGTTATGAAAACATTTTCTACTATGAAACCATGAAGAAAAACTTTGTAATTTGCATACTCCATCCAATACAGCTATTCACTAATCAACTCTTCAACTCCTTCACTCACTGAGCAAAGACTGTTACATCAGTCTGTATTGCTTAGTTAATAAGGATACTAAATAGAAGACTTTACATAATATTTTCCAAATATATTAAGAGAGATTGTGAGTAGCCTCTGGAATTCTAATCGGGCAGCTATGTAATCTTGGCTAAATCACATAATTTCTCTGGATTAAATCCTGGCACTACTGAAGACAATGGCAAAACTCCTATTGACTTCAGTGCTGCCAGGATTTCACCGTGCATCTCTGTTTCATCATATGTTAAATGGCATAGTATTACATTCAATGTGTGCACACATTTCAGGGATGTTATGAGACTTAATTAAGTAATGTTTGTACAGCACTTTGAAAATGTAAATGTTATACAAGTACTGATTATTATTATTAAATCCACTATGAAAATAGTACCTCATATTTGAAAACTGCACATCCCAAATATGAAATTAATATACCATTTATGTAAATATATATAATGTTTATGTAAATTAGGACACAATGAACAATATATAACTGATCAGTGCAACTTCTGAATACATGCCAAATTGAAAGACTTCTGGTCTGATATCAGAAAATGTATTCCATTGTTTTATATGGATATACGTTCCAAATGCCTATTGTGATCATGTTAGCAAAATGTTGGCCTTTTTAGAATCCTTGTGACTACAGCCAACAAATGTACTCATCAATGTGCATCCCAATCCAGCTCCCAAGGAAATCAATGGAATTCGTGCTATTAACACACCAATAGGAGCAGGAACTAGTTGTTTGGCAACAAAAATAAACACCCTTTCTAGAAATGTGGTTCAAAATAATAATAAAAATAAATAAGAAAAATTGGAACACCAATTGTCTTTAGATTGAAAGTATTATTTGAAGAACGATCATTGAAATAACTTATAGTACGAGTTGTAGACTTATTGTCACCCATAGCTTAAACTACTACAGTTTAGTTGTTTTAGTCTGTATATCAGATTTCTTCTTTGTTGCTGCTTAAGTAATAAAATATTCTCTTTATATTTAATGTAAAAGGGCCCAATCCTCCATCCCTCACTTAGATAAGCAATCCCACTAAAAGTCAGTGGGCAAAATTCAGACCTGCTGTGTGCAGGGATAACTAAATTGATTTGGTCTCTGGGTCCAATCATACTCCCACTATGGTCAATAGAAGTCTCTCTCTTGACTTCAATGAGATTTGGATTAGACCCAGAATGAGAGCCAAAAAGGCCAAAGCAATGTTTTAAAGTGGAAAACATTTTATTCATGTTCAAACAACTCAAATTTGGACTTTATTTAACTATCAAAAATATTCATATTTGACATGGAACTAAGCATGAAAAATTACTGCCTTAAATGAATGTTTCTGTGAATAGTATTAAAAATAGGAAGTTAAAAAAGAAATGTCAGCTCAACCATAATTATAGCATCACTGCAAGCATTCTTACATAATAATAATAAAAAAAGAATTTATTTATTACATATATTTGCCCCTGAGTTTGTTTATTAGAATTCTTTACTAGTTATTCCCATTCATTTAAATGGTTTTCCATATGTTGATGTAAATCACTTTCTAATCCTAGAATTTCAGTGTCTAGTCCAGTGTCTCCATCTCTGCTCCTCTTGAAGTGATGCCAAAATCTGTGGATATATAAATCAACTTAATACATTTTTTCTCTTGTCATCTGTCCCTCTCCCCCTCCCGCCCTTTTGCTTTTCTATTGTTCTTTTCCTTCATAGAGTCACAGTTTAAGGCCAGAAGGGACCATTAGATCATGTAGTCTGACCACATGTATATCACAGAACATTACATTTCACTGTGATCTCTATAATGAGCCCAATAACTCGTCGTCTTCTCTCCACCCTCTCTTCTTTCATCCAAATAGTGACCTTTAGCCTATATTCTAAGTATGTGAAGAGGCTTCGATAGCAGAGGGATTTAAAACAGCAACATCTCCTTGGACAACAGAAGTGGCAACAGCAGGAGAATCAGGGAAAACACAGTGTTTGGATAAATCTCTTCTGAGAAATCATAATGTCAAATTGTTCCTCCTACCTTCTACATACCTATTGTGACAAAGTTCCTCCTCTATCTTGGTGGGTCCTGCGCTTATTGGCGGATTTTCCTGCTTCAGAGATTCACCATGTGGGTTGGGGAACAGACCAGAGACCTTCCCCTCTGGAAGAACCCACAGTCCAGGTCAATTGGAAGGTTTGGGGGGAACCCGGGCCTGCCCTCTACTCCGGGTTCCAGCCCCAGGGCCCTGTGGACTGCAGCTGTCTATAGTGCTTCCTGTAACTGCTGCATGACAGCTACAACTCCCTGGGCTACTTCCCCCTGGCCTCCTCCAAACACCTTCCTTATTCTCACCACAGGACCTTCCTCCTGGTGTCTGATAACACTTGTGCTCCTCAGTCCTCCAGCAGCTCACCCTCTCACTCTCAGCTTCTTGCGCCTCTTGCTCCCAGCTCCTCACACTCGCCCCACAAACTGAAGTGAGCTCCTTTTAAAACCCAGGTGCCCTGATTAGCCTGCCTTAATTGATTCTAGCAGCTTCTTCTTAATTGGCTCCAGGTGTCCTAATTAGCCTGCCTGCCTTAACTGGTTCTAGCAGGTTGCTGATTACTCTAGTGCAGCCCCTGCTCTGGGCACTCAGGGAACAGAAAACTACTCATCCAGTGACCAGTATATTTGCCCTCTACCAGACTCCTGTATCCCACTGGTCTGGGTCTGTCACATATCCCTCCCCCCTGCTCAATGCCAAGGGGTTGTGCAGCTTGGGACGCCAGACAGTGCACATGTGACAAGCCATCGGCGTTGCCATGACGGCTCCCTGCTCTGTGTTGCACACGGAACTGGAAAGGTTGGAGGGATAAGAACCATCTGGTCACCCTTGTGTTCTTCTCCTTGTTCCGCTGCATCCATTGAAGAGGGGCATGGTCGGTCATGAGGACAAATCTGCGCCCGAGCAGGTAGTAGCACAATGTTTCCATGGCCCATTTTACAGCGAGGCATTCTCTCTCCACCACTGCATGTTTTCGTTTCCTTGGAAGGAGTTTCCGACTGAGGTATAGAATTGGGTGTTCCTCCTCCCCAACCATCTGTGATAGAATGGCCCCCAACCCTACTTCTGATGCATCCATCTGCAGGATAAACTCCTTGGTGAAATCAGGGGCTATCAGTACAGGGTTACTGCAGAGGGCAGTCCGTAGGTCTGTGAATGCTTCCTCTGCTGCGTCAGACCATCTCACCAGATCAGGTCCATGGGCTTTCACTAGGTCTGTCAGGTGGCTTGTCCTTGTGGCAAAGTGGAGGATAAATCGTCGGTAATACCCCACCACACCTAGGAACGCCCGGACTTGTTTCTTGCAATTTGGTCGGGGCCAATTTTGGATGGCCTCTAACTTGTTCACTTGGGCTTTTACCAAACCTTTTCCCACATTGTAGCCAAGATATTTGGCCTCTGTAAACCCTACAGCGCACTTGGCAGGGTTTGCTGTAAGGCCAGCTCGCCTAAAGGTATCGAGGACTGCCTCCACCTTCTCCAGGTGGGTTTCCCAGTCTGGGGTATGAATGACCACATCGTCCAAGTAGGCAGCAGCATAACTGTTATGCTGGCGTAATAACTTGTCCATGAGGTGCTGGGAGGTAGCTGGGGCCCCATGTAGTCCAAAAAGGAGGACAGTATATTGAAAAAGACCCTCTGGTGTAGAGAACGCAGTCTTTTCCTTTGCGTCTTCTGCAAGGGGAATCTGCCAGTACCCCTTTGTCAAGTCTAGGTAGTCAAGTACCGGGCATTACCCAGACGGTCCACTAGCTCATCTATGCGAAGTATGGGGTACATGTCGAACTGGGATACTTCGTTTAGTCGCCGGAAGTCATTGCAAAATCTTGTGGTGCCATCAGGTTTGGGCACCAGCATGATTGGGCTGGACCACTGACTGTGGGATTCCTCGATGATCCCCAACTCCAGCATTTTTTTTACTTCTGCTTTTATTTCCTCCCTTTTTGCTGCTGGCACCCAATAGGGCCTCATTGTTACTCTGGCCCCAGGGTTCGTGACGATGTGGTGATATGTCTCGGTTGTTCGACCTGGTTTTGTCGAGAACACATCTTGGTTCCGGAAGATCATCTCAGACACCTCATTCTTCTGGTCTGGTGTTAAATCGGGAGACACCCTCACCTGTTTGGAAGGCTTGTTTTCCTGGGTTAGGTCTTTTTGCACCGTTGTGCATGCCTCTTGTGCATGCCAGGGTTTCAGAAGGTTAACGTGATAAATCTGTTCTTGTTTTCTGCGTCCTGGCTGCCACACCTTGTAGTTTACTTCCCCCACAGGTTCAACCACTTCATAGGACCCCTGCCATTGGGCCAGAAGCTTGCTTTCTGCCGTGGGTACCAACACCATAACCCGATCCCCTGGTTGGAACTGTCGCACTTTTGCCTGGCGATTGTAATGGGTTCACTGGGCCTCCTGTGCCTTCTCCAAATGTTCCCGTACAATAGGGGTAACCCGGGCTATCCGGTCTCGCATCTGCATTACATGCTGTATTATATTTCTCCCCTCATTGGGTTCCTCTTCCCAGATCTCTTTGGCGATATCTAGTATGCCATGGGGGTGACGTCCATATAATAACTCGAAGGGGGAAAACCCAGTTGAGGCCTGAGGTACCTCCCGGATAGCGAACATAAGGTAGGGTAGTAGGGTGTCCCAATCCTTCCCGTCCCGACTTACCACCTTCCTTATCATAGCCTTGAGGGTTTGGTTAAACCTTTCTACCAACCCATCAGTCTGCGGATGGTAGACCGAAGTTCTCAGGGTATGTATATGGAGCAGTGTACAGAGGTCCTTAATTAGCTTCAACATAAATGGGGTTCCTTGGTCAGTTAATATCTCCTTCGGTAGCCCCATTCAGGCAAAGATCCCCACCAGCTCTTTGGCTAGAGTTTTAGAGGCTGTGTTCCGCAGGGGGACGGCTTCTGGGTAGCGAGTAGCATAGTCCAAAACAACAAGTATATATTGGTGGCCCCGAGCCGTCTTCTCCAGGGGTCCCACTAGGTCCATGGCTATTCGCTCGAAGGGGACCTCTATGATGGGAAGCGGTACTAACGGTGGCCTCAAGTGGGGATGGGGACTGTGCAGCTGACACTCCGGGCAGGAGGCACAGTACCTCCGCACTTCTTCATGTACTCCGTGCCAGAAGAACCGTCGTAGGACTCGTGCCAAGGTCTTCTCTACCCCCAAATGCCCCCCAAAAAGATGACTATGAGCAAGACTTAATACAGCGTTCTGGTGTTTTTGAGGTACTAGGATCTGCTGTACCTTCTGCCCCGGTACTGGTGCAACCAGGTATAAGAGATCCTTCTTCATTATGAAGTAGGGTCCTGGTCCCTGGGTTTTCCCTTCCATGGGGACCCCATCTATTTCAGTCACCTCCTTCCTAATGTTGTCATACCTTGGGTCTTCTGCCTGGTCCCGTCCAAAATTCCCTCTCCCGGGGCTAATCTGCCTAAGATTTAGGGGCCCAGTCTCTGTTGCCTCTACTGGTTCAGAAGCATTAGGGTGGGGGGTCGAGACTCAGATGCTCTCCCTCCTGCGTGGCCTCCTTTCAGCTGCGTGGTCCGCCTACCTACAAGAGCGACCCTCTGGCTTTGGGTCAGTATTCGGGTTCCCAAGGCCTTAGCTGCCCTTCTT